CCCTGCCCACCCTCCCCGGGGGGCTCACCCCTCATTGATTTCCACATCGCCTCTCTCAACCCACACCCCCCACACCCCCCCGCACACCTCTCCTCCACTCCAGCAGCTCTCATCAACCCCGTTATCTTGGAAAATCCCGAGCCTGCTTCCTTTCTACCCTATTTAGGTCCGCTGTAATTTTATCCAGCCCCGGTATCTCATCCCGAGCCTTGCCCATCCCCGCACACACGCAGATACACGCACACAGGCGTGGAGCCCACTGAGGCATTAGTTGGATTATTCTGTTTTGTCCCCGACTGTAATGTGTCTGGGATTCACTAACGCTCCTCTCGCTTCCTTCTTCACCATCTATTTAATTTTTTTTTTTTTTTTCCGTGGCTTTTAAATTTTATTTTGGTTCTGCTGCGTTTCTAAGGAATTTCTGTCCGAGTTTGATAAGCATCACCGTTTCTGGTGTTATCAGCAAAGACACAAGCTCAGAAGTAACATCTTTTCCACGATTCCAGGAAAGAAGAAAAATCCACTCAGTCCAGATAAATCCTAGGCAATTCCCAACAGGAAAGGCATTGGATACGTGCTTCTTGAGAAAATGAAAAAAAAAAAAAAAATTGCTCTAACCAAACCCACCCTCGCTCTACCTGCTCCTCAGAACCAGGGCATTCCTCACTCAGAAATGAATGAAAGAAACAAATTAGGGATCACAAAGAGGGGACAGACAGAAAGTAGAGAATTATTTCCTTTCCCACCCCCCCTCCCACCCCGTGTCTTGGCCAGAACAAGACACTGAAGGGAGAACTCAGCCCTTCGCATAGGCAGTGCACACACACTTGAAGTTTGCAGGATCTTTAAGTGGTTACCTTAAAAATCGCAATTAAACTTTCGTCTCCCAAGTGTGGTGGCTTTTCCAAGTTAGTTCAGCTCCCTGAAAACACCTTTTTGCATGGGAACAACCAGAATCTGCCACCCCGCTCCATACGTGCTCCCAAAGTCTTGGCTGCACTACCAGGATTCGGTCCTGGTGTCCTGGGCAAACAGAGGCACCCAGCTATTTTTTTTTTTATTTATTTTTTTTTTTCCCCTGGCGGGGAGGGTAAGGGTGGTGGTGGGGTTTTTTTTAGGACTCAAATCATGTTGAGAAAATATTACACACGTAGATGCATCCCTCATCAGAGAGCATGTGATGGGTTTAACACGCTAAACTAATAGTCTTGCCTGGAAAAGCAAGGAGGCTGAGGAAGAAGAATAAAACCCCCTCAAACACTCAGAATATTCTTTACTGCAAAAGAGCACTTCTGGATGCGTTGCTTTAAATCTCATTCTCTTTTTCTCTCAAAAATGACTGTTTAACATAAGAAAAAAGGCTACTTGACACAAAGCTTTTGTTATCCAGTTGATCAGCAACGTGCTTTAGATACTTGTAAGGGGAAAAAAGCCCCACAACAGACATTGATTTTAGAAAATCAATAACCAACATTTAATAAAAAGAACAGAGGAAACACAAGAGAGGAGAGGGAAACATTACGTGTAATTTTAATGTCTACTAAATTACCCAGAGATGAGGGGAAGGGGAGGTCTCCTCTGTGAGGACCACCTTAAATAATGACAGACACAAGAGTAAAGGGTGGTGGTGGAGGGGGAGAGACTTTAAAAAAAGATAACAAGGAACGGATCCTTGGGAAGCTGCTCGGAATATATTATTTTAGTTGAGGTTTTTTTCTTTTGGGGTTTTTTTTTTTTTTTTTTTGGTAATACTAAGCCAAGCAAATAGATCAAAGACAACACAAAGGGAAAAGCCAGTGTAACATAACGAACAGTTTCTGACTAAAATTCCTCTATCACTCCCCCATATGGCTCGACGCCTCCACCACAACAAGAAAAAGACACACACACGCACACACACACACACACACACTCACACTCACAACCTAGAGAGAGGGAAGGGGAGGGGGGACAGGATCATTTGTTTCTAATCAACATTCTCTCGTCTTTGTGTTTTTTGTTGTTGTTGTTGTTGTTGTGTGTGTCCCCCTCCTCCTTCAGCCCCCCTCCACCTCCACCTCTCCACTTAAATGAAGTAGCTGAGCTATAAGCGCATGGGTTCAGGTTCACACAAATATCTTCCTTCCTCCGGCTCCTCGAGAGGAAAGTTGTTGGAAGTGGGGCCGGGATGGCCACGGAGGGGCTGCGGGCGGGGAGGGAGAGGCTGGCGGCGGGGAAGCGGCTATCAGCCGGGAGAGAAAGGAAGAAACTAAGGGAGGGACGGGGAGAGACGGAGAAAGAGAGACCCACCACACCAGTGAAAGCTGCCAAATGTGAAATCAGCCCAGAACACCGCGTCCCACTGCGCCCCGGCCCTGCGCGGCCGGCGGGGACCGGGGGAGAGGGCAGCGACGGACAATCGGGCACCGAGCTCATTAGTATTATTAATTATCAGGGAGGAGGAAGTTTCATTTTCGAGTCCCTAACAATAAAAAAAAATAAAAAGAAAGAAAAAAAAAAGGAAAAAAAAAAAAAAAAGAAAGAGAGAGAGAGAGTCTCTAACTCGGTGCCAGCCCGCCTCGGGGTTCTCACGCTGCCGGGTGTTTTTCCCAGGGCCGCCCGCCCCGCTCGTTCCGCGCCGCTCCGCGCCTCCCACCGCCCCGCTCCGCCGCGCTCCGCTCCGC